AAAAAAAAAAAAAAAAAAAACATCGCTTGAGATCGTTCTTCACCAGTCTGGCCTTCCTCTGAAGTCGTGCCCAAGGCCCCAAGAAACGGCCACGGGAAGGCCCAGCCCTCCGGGCCCCGCGCGACGGTGAAGTCGCCCTCTGCAGCCTGACACAGGGCCGGAGAGAAATGAAGGGCTCAGGTCAGAAAGCCCTTAGAGTTTAGGGTCAAGGCAGAAAGCCCTAGTGCACAGCTGAGTGGGAAAGGACTCTGGTGGTGTCGAACCAAGTCATCTGAGCATTTCAGTCTATGGCAGTCTCAGCGTGCGGTCGCGATCGCCATAAATCCGCCTACAGCGCCGCATATGTCTCTGAATCGAAGCTCCGTCAGCTCGACACCAATTGCTTCATGAACGCAGGCGACTTCCAGACAGCGACAGAGACAGACAGATAGATAGACAGACAGGGGGAGAGAGATTCAGATTTAAGTTGAGGTTTTGAGTCTTGGGGTTCTTGAGAGGGCTAGGCCTGACAGGGTTTACCTCAAGCGTATCCTCCGTCTTCACACCGTCTCCAGCGAAGGTGGGAATGTCTAGCGGTCGCAGGCCTTCAAGGTGAACCGTCAATGCGGCAAGAACCGCGAACCCATATAAAACCAAACCGAAGGCCAACTTCTTCAGCTTCTCAAGACCGTCGCAAAGAAGCTGCCTTCTCAAATGCCAAATCCCCAAAACCCTAAACCTCAAACCCTCGGAGGAAGCCCGAAATGCCAGCAGGCCAAAACAGAAAGACCCTCTGCCAAGCTTAAGCTGTGGCCTGCACAGACGCAGCTCCGGACCTGGCAGAAAAGCTCAGGCTATGAGAAAGAGCTTTTCGGGGATGTATGGGTCTAGGGTTTAGGGTTTGGGGCCTGGTTTATGTATTTCTCCAGGCTGTACGGGGCATCTAGAGTTTTCATATATCTATATCTATATCTATATCTATATCTATATATATATATATATATATGGGGGCTTTAAGGCTGCAGCAAGGGCGTTCCGGGATAATGGAATAGTTTCAGGGTTTATTGGGCTTGGAGGCAAGAAGTCTTTGAGGGACTCGGCTACACCCTGAAGCCCTTCGGGCCCCTCATCCCTGAAACCGAAACACGAAGCTGTGCACTACCAGCGCAAACCCGAAAACCTACACCCTAAACCCTAAACCCTAAACCCTAAACCCTAACCCCCAATTCTGTTCACTTGGGAGCCCCGGCGCCATGCTAAGACCAGCAGCAGCAGCCAGCAGCGCGCGGCGACCCTTCTTAGGCGTGGACACTTGGGCTCATGCATTGTGGTCCGCAAGACCCAAGTTCTGGGCCCGGAAGCCAAAGCCCTGAAATCCGTGCCTTGCCGCTCCACCCTCTGCAGAAGGCTACAAGGCTCTGTAGCTTAAATATCTGCCGCCTTGGTAGTTGAGACTACCGCTGCCTGGGGCTTCTCTGGTGTGGGTTTCTCATGTTGTGCTGAAGATGCAACCCAACCCGGATGTCTCCAGTTAGCCCCGGGCGGTGTGACAGCTTGTGAGGCTAATCCCGGAGGTCGCTCACAGCAAGCCGGACTGAAGAATACATGCGGTTGCAGGCGAAGGGGCCCTATGTATGGTTTGGGGCATGAAAACTCGACCGGCTCCAGAGTTGAAGAGGCGCTCTGAATTTTAGTGGCTTCGCTTGAAGGAGCTTCCAGTGGTCTACGAAGGCATCGCTCTGTGCGCACCTGCTTCTCTTCGAGTGCCACATCAGCAGCCTGCCTCAGCTGTGCGAAGGTTCGCCGGCCATGTGAGAAGGTCTGAAAAGGAGTAGAACGGCAGATATCTTACAGCCCAAGACGGTACTACAGTTCAGGTCAGCGTTAGGGTGCCATCCACGTCGTTGTCAGTGTGACTGCTCGTATCAACATTCTTGCCGGAACAATGTTGGGCCAAGATCTTGATTGCTACGGCGATGACTACTTGTTGCCGCTGTCGTTCCTTCGCGCTCGTATAGCTCATATGACTCATATTGATAGCAGCAGCAGCAGTAGTAGTAGTAGTAGTAGTAGTAGTAGTAGTAGTAGTATAGTAGTAGTAGTAGTAGTAGTAGTAGTAGTAGTAGTAGTAGTATAGTAGTAGCAGCAACATCAGCGAAACAGCCGTGGGAAGAGTCGCGACGTCATCATGAGTAGCGTTGGTCTTAATTTGTCATGTTTGTCTTGCGTGTGGATTGTTCTGTCCTTTCGACGGTGCTTGTATCATCTTGTATCTGCCCTGCGTCCAATCGGGCCTTTCAGAATTCTGACCACCGCTACCATGCTGACAACTTGCACTAAACCCTCCACCACGAAACCAAAAACCCAAGCCACTAGAAGTGCAAGCCTAAATCACCTGAGACTTGGCAGAGGACCTCGAATCAAGTTCACAGGACCCTTGCGATGTTGGGCCTTGCTCTGAAAACCTCCTGCACCTTTGGAGGGAAACCGAGAGCAGCACGCAATGGGCACAGGCGAGGGCAGAAAAGTTGAGCACCATCTGGCTTGGAGAAAGGCCGTCTTCAAACCGCTGCTGCAAATGCCTCAAAGCTCCGCAAACGGACCCTCCGAGCTGTGAAATTGAGCCTCAACGCCCCCATCTCTCCAACTGCCTCGTCGATGCCAGGAAAACCTTAGGGGAACGGGTCTGCAGAGGAATAGGCCTGGCGATTTCAGGTTTTGGGTCTTGGTTCTCCATGAATTGAGATGACAATCTTCAGACTCCCTTACCTGCAGGAAGGACGGTACAGAAGTGGTTGGGCCCAAACCCCACACCTTGTGTCTTTACGAACCCGAAACCTCGTTAGAAATCTGCTGTCCTTTTTTCTCGGGAGCCCATTTTCAAGAACCCTTCTCCGAGCCCCCGACTGCTAGCAGGAAGAGGCCGACCACACCATGCGTGGACCTGCAAGGAAGCCCGGAGGCGTCCTCTTCTGGAGACTTTCTGGATTTCGGGTTTAGGGTTCAGGGTATTTGTGGGCTTAGGGTTTAAGGCAGATGAGGGTTCGGGATTTTGCGGGTTGGGGGAGTTCTTCAGATCCCTGAAAGCTGTGAAATCCTGCAGCCCCAGACGCGAGACCTTATGCTTCCTGTGTAAACTAAGATTGACCCTAACCCTACAAAACCCCGCAACCCGAAACCCAAGCCTGACGCCCCCGAAAGCCATAAACTCAGGTCCTAACAGTCTTTAAAACATCACAATTCAGCTCTGGCTCATAGGGTCCGGGTGTCGGGAGGTCGTACTTAAGACGCGGGGTGTCAGGGTTTTGGATGATGGGTATTGGGTGCACCGCAATCCCAAACCCTGTTAGGTTTGAGAAGGTTTGGGGTTCTTTGGGCAACTTGGCCGTTGGACCAATAACCCTGAACACTAAATACTAAACCTGGAGACCCAATCTCACAAAGAACATGCTGAATCGCTGCGGAAGACCTGTACAGAAGGACCAAGGACTTCCCCTGGAAGCTAAAAGGACTGTCGGCTGAGCCGTGTAAGGACAGCCTGAGTCACTACACTGGCAAAGAACATGCTCGCAGTGAGCCTCATTGCGCGCCAGCTGCGAGAGCAAGAGACCGGCAACTGCCGGAGCAAGAAATCCTAAAACAGTCACAAGACCGGCGAGGGCAGAACAGCGTCTGGTGAACGACTCGTGGGTCCAGAAGATTTGCACCGCAAACACTAAACTGTACCTTTGAGATCTCACAGGCGCAGGGAAAGTGCCATGGGTCTTACTTGAGCAAGGCTCATTGTTTTCCGTGGTCGCAGCGGCATGAGGCGCAGAATCTGACAGGCTCGTCGCGGCTTCGCTGTACACCAGCCTGCCTTGCAAGATCTGGCCTCGTACAAAAGGTTCATTCTGCAGCTGTGGGAGGCTTATACTCCACAACTGACAGCGGGCACCCTAAACCGGCCCGCCTAAATCCTGGTGGTCTCAAAGTCGGGTTCCCGAGAATGCGGCGACCGTCTTCGGAAAAGCAAGAGCCCCTGCTGGGTTTAACTTTTTGTTCTGTCCTCTTGCGGCCCCCGCACCCTAACGCCCTAAGGGCTCCTTTACAGCAGCAGTGCATCTAGCCATCCTCTCTGCGTCACCTCGAAGCTTTCGGGGTTCAGGGCTTCGGACCGTTGGACCAATGTGCAGGGCTTACAGGAGGTATGACAGGTGGCAACAGCTAAGGGGTTTAGGAGGAAAAGTAGCGAACCCCAAACCCTAAACCCTAAATGAGAATTCAAGTTGCTTTCTGCGAGCGGCTTCTCCGGGGGTTGGGATTTCAGGAAAGTGGCTGATCCTGCAAGTGTCTTGTCTGATCCAAGGGACACTTTCGGACTGCCCTTGCTGCCTGCAGGCCTGAACCTCGAAGCTCTAGGCTCACCTTCACCTTGAATTCTGCAATCAAACACCCAAAAAACATCTCAGAGTTCCTTCGGGTGCTGCAAGAAATCATGCACTGGGAAGGTTGCCCTACATGAAAGTTCCCTTCCACGGGAGCAAGCACCCTTTCGTAGAGCACCCTTGGAACGTCCGTCGAGGTGCATCTTGGAACAGCAGTGGCACATCATGGCAACCTCAGCGGTTGCTGTTCCGTTGCCCAAAACCCCTCACTCCTCAGTTCACAGCCTACAGCCCTAGCCCGTAAAGCTCTAAAACACCAGATCCCAGATTCCTCAGGGCGTACCATACTGAGATTCCGAGGGCCCTAAAGCAAGACCCAGGCCGGATGGGCTCAGCTTCAATGGATGAGGCTCCGTGGCACTTTGCGGGCTTTGAGACTTTAGGGCATAGGCCATGGGCATCGGGCCTCAGGGTGACTAGGGATTGTACTGTTGTGGTATGGTGGAGATAAGAAGAAGTTCAGAAAGCAAAGGTCTTATCTTGGGGCTGAGTTCAGTGTCAATCGTAGTCGAAAACGCTGCCATGGCTCGATGGCATGCGCGGCCCGTTCAGTGTAACTTCTGGCCTCTCGCGTGTGCCCACCCCCTCTACGTGTTTTCAATCGAACCACTGACTCGGGCTGCGGCAGCCACCAAAACACACGCGGCAAAGCCGCTCGGCACTGTCACCCACATCCTTGGCAATCCAGATGGACGTAGGGTCTCTGTGTTCTAGAACTGCGTAGGGCTGTAAACCTGGACCCTAGACTCCCTAGACACCGAACCGCATGTTCAGGGGGTTTAGATCTCGACCCGGGGTCCCCGCGGCCACATGTAGCCGCCGCAATAGTACGGTCCGCTGTCGTCGACACCACAGCTAGTGAAGGCCCACCTTGCGAGAAAGTCAGCGGCTGTCTCTCTGCCTGTCGATGCATAATTGTCATTTGTATCTGTAGATGTGTGTACAAAGATATGCGTACATCCGCATACATACTTAAATACATACATACATACATACATACATACATACATGCATACATACATACATACATACGTACGTACATACATACATACATACATACATACATACATACATCATATAATACATACATACATACATAC